CCCACCGACGCTTGTGTCGCGATATGGTCCTGCTTTTGATACTCTGACACTAGCCATAAATCATAAGTCGACATCTTGTAATTATCACATCAAAATGAGGATGGATTGGGAACAGTAATCGAAGTAAAACTAATTTATTCAAAATGTAGCACTTAACAATTCGAAAATCTATTGAAAATGTTCGATCGATCAGGTCACCTCTCAACAGCTGACTCCGACACTGTTGCCACAGGTGTGACTCGCTACAACACAGGTACATCCGTGAATGTTCTCACTTTACAAACACAACTGCGTGCTAGGCGATGCTTCTGCTGTGTGGACTCTCACTACGATCAGCGATAATATGATATGATATGATATGATATGATATGATATGATATGATATGATATGATATGATATGATATGATATGATATGATATGACATGATATGATATGATATGATATGATTCCGATGGAGAGGGTGGGGTAAAATAAGGATAAAACACATCTTAAGTCAAAGACTTAAACAAGACTTGATTTTGTTCGTTAAGTTCAGAAAAAAATCTGCTTTCACTCATTTTGATTATATCAGAAGTCCAAACCAATTTAAAGGGTGATTTTCAACACATTGACAATATGGACTTTCACCATAATAATAATAATAAATTTAAGTTTAAGTGCGGCATTACTTCTGACATTCTGACAAAATGAGTCCATAATACATGTGCACTCAATTAGTTAGTATACTTACTACGAAAATGGCCCTACAATAACAGAAACGTGCACTTAAGTGCAATTAGTTAATATACATACCACGAAGGGACATCATGACAAAACGGTCCTAAAACAGACACTCTTTAGTTAGTATACCCTCCACAAAATGTGTCTAAAATAAACAGCCATATGCACTATTTAGTTAGCATACCTACTATGAAGGGATATCATGACAAAACGAGCCTACTTTAAACAGACATGTGCACTATTTAGTTCGTATGCCTACCACAAAATAGGCCTACAATAAACAGACATGCGCATTATTTAGTTCGTATGCCTACCACAAAATAGGCCTACAATAAACAGACATGTGCACTATTTAGTTCGTATGCCTACCACAAAATAGGCCTGCAATAGACTGACATGTGCATTATTTAGTTCGTATGCCTACCACAAAATAGGCCTACAATAAACAGACATGTGCATTATTTAGTTCGTATGCCTACCATAAAATAGGCCTGCAATAAACAGACATGTGCACTATTTAGTTGGTATGCCTACCACAAAATAGGCCTGCAATAAACTGACATGTGCATTATTTAGTTCGTATGCCTACCATAAAATAGGCCTGCAATAAACAGACATGTGCACTGTTTAGTTGGTATGCCTACCACAAAATAGGCCTGCAATAAACAGACATGTGCACTATTTAGTTGGTATGCCTACCACAAAATAGGCCTGCAATAAACTGACATGTGCACTATTTAGTTCGCATGCCTACCACAATAGATATCATGACAAAGTGGGCCTACAATTAAATAGACATTAATTCAGATACAAGCCTGCCAAGAAGGAATATTGTGATGATATCGGCTTCCAATGAAATACATAATTTCAGTTATTGTGCCATACGAACCCGGTTACAACGGGTGCGCCTACATTGAATTTGATATGGATGTAGACGCTCCAGCTGACGAGGATTAGAGACATAAAAGGCAACGTGAGACTGTGATAGTGAAACAGACTATTGACTAAGGACACTGTGTCAATTGTGGTGAACACAATGGTCCAATACTACTACATTACGAAGGCATGTTCTCTCTCAAGGTGTACATGTAGACGAAATTGGGTAGAAGCATCCATACCTACTTGAATGTAGATGACTTCAAAATAGCGAAAGCCTATGTGCCACTTTAATATATAAGGGAGTCACATTTTAAGTGACGTCGGCAGTATTGCAACCATACTGAGACTTGAGCAGTAATTACAGCATGCCTGTACATATACTTATTGCAAGTATAGTGATTACGGTATGCATAAGCATATACTAGTGGTGGTCCGATTACACAGGTACATCCGTGAATGTTCTCACTTTACAAACACAACTGCGTGCTAGGCGATGCTTCTGCTGTGTGGACTCTCACTACGATCAGCGATAATATATGATATGATATGATATGATATGATATGATATGATATGATATGATATGATATGATATGATATGATATGATATGATATGACATGATATGATATGATATGATATGATTCCGATGGAGAGGGTGGGGTAAAATAAGGATAAAACACATCTTAAGTCAAAGACTTAAACAAGACTTGATTTTGTTCGTTAAGTTCTGAAAAAAATCTGCTTTCACTCATTTTGATTATATCAGAAGTCCAAACCAATTTAAAGGGTGATTTTCAACACATTGACAATATGGACTTTCACCATAATAATAATAATAAATTTAAGTTTAAGTGCGGCATTACTTCTGACATTCTGACAAAATGAGTCCATAATACATGTGCACTAATTAGTTAGTATACTTACTACGAAAATGGCCCTACAATAACAGAAACGTGCACTTAAGTGCAATTAGTTAATATACATACCACGAAGGGACATCATGACAAAACGGTCCTAAAACAGACACTCTTTAGTTAGTATACCCTCCACAAAATGTGTCTAAAATAAACAGCCATATGCACTATTTAGTTAGCATACCTACTATGAAGGGATATCATGACAAAACGAGCCTACTTTAAACAGACATGTGCACTATTTAGTTCGTATGCCTACCACAAAATAGGCCTACAATAAACAGACATGCGCATTATTTAGTTCGTATGCCTACCACAAAATAGGCCTACAATAAACAGACATGTGCACTATTTAGTTCGTATGCCTACCACAAAATAGGCCTGCAATAGACTGACATGCGCATTATTTAGTTCGTATGCCTACCACAAAATAGGCCTACAATAAACAGACATGTGCACTATTTAGTTCGTATGCCTACCATAAAATAGGCCTGCAATAAACAGACATGTGCACTATTTAGTTGGTATGCCTACCACAAAATAGGCCTGCAATAAACTGACATGTGCATTATTTAGTTCGTATGCCTACCATAAAATAGGCCTGCAATAAACAGACATGTGCACTGTTTAGTTGGTATGCCTACCACAAAATAGGCCTGCAATAAACAGACATGTGCACTATTTAGTTGGTATGCCTACCACAAAATAGGCCTGCAATAAACTGACATGTGCACTATTTAGTTCGCATGCCTACCACAATAGATATCATGACAAAGTGGGCCTACAATTAAATAGACATTAATTCAGATACAAGCCTGCCAAGAAGGAATATTGTGATGATATCGGCTTCCAATGAAATACATAATTTCAGTTATTGTGCCATACGAACCCGGTTACAACGGGTGCGCCTACATTGAATTTGATATGGATGTAGACGCTCCAGCTGACGAGGATTAGAGACATAAAAGGCAACGTGAGACTGTGATAGTGAAACAGACTATTGACTAAGGACACTGTGTCAATTGTGGTGAACACAATGGTCCAATACTACTACATTACGAAGGCATGTTCTCTCTCAAGGTGTACATGTAGACGAAATTGGGTAGAAGCATCCATACCTACTTGAATGTAGATGACTTCAAAATAGCGAAAGCCTATGTGCCACTTTAATATATAAGGGAGTCACATTTTAAGTGACGTCGGCAGTATTGCAACCATACTGAGACTTGAGCAGTAATTACAGCATGCCTGTACATATACTTATTGCAAGTATAGTGATTACGGTATGCATAAGCATATACTAGTGGTGGTCCGATTAATTGAAATTAATCGAAGATTTGCCGCAGTGACTAAACGACCAAGCAATCGATCATGTTTTCTCATAATCGAACACAAACGATTCTGGAACACTTTTTGCATTAACACTATTTTTTACATGGTTGGTTTTCTCTGTTACATTTTATGAGCTCTACAAGCTCGTTCCAAGTCACAAATGAATTTATCTTAAAGGCCCCAAGAAATGTATGTTCCTAACATACTAGTCATCTTTTAAAGATGTGCAATTGCAAAAAAACACCCCAAGGAACTACATGTTTTTCCTTTATGTTTTTGTGTATTAACAAAAATAACCAGGAAAATTTCATATATGACGCTTACCAATTATTTTCGATGCTTGATCGGTTGTAATGAACCAATCATCAATTATGTGATTTTAACCAATTCCCAACACTAGCAAATACATCCAGCAAGTGTTGCAATTACAGTAATACTATGTACATATACTTAAGGCGACGAGTAGTAGTAAGAACGTGTATGTACATATACTATTGTCGGGTGTACTAATTCCAACATACAGGTACGTATGATACTTAATGATTTTCTAAGGACAACGGTTGAACTATTATATTATATATAACAATAGTCATATGACAAAATAGCATGTTTTTCATTTCGTTTAGTAGTGCACTCCCGGTACAGGGGTGAATTCACTATACGATACATAAGGCAAGCAGGACACCCTGGTATAAGTAGAATGTAACTATGTAAACGTTGAACGTTACGAACAAAATAACAGATGTTAACTACCAACCATCTCCCTTTTAACTTGTAAACTACTTAATAATCAAATGAAGTCAAAGTTAACGAAAATGTGAACATAAATGAGTTCATGTTTACAACTACAAGATACAACAAAACAGATTATTATTTCATCATTTTTAAATTGTTTATATCAAGAAGTCAACGTATGCAACAAACGTATGTAAACACGATAAGCTGATACGAATGTAATGACATGAAATATGGAAAAACGATATAACTTAAACATGGTGATAACTGATAAAAACGAAATTACTCGAGCGGGATATCATGAAATGTTTATATCTCGTGTTATATTTCATTCTGAAAAATAATCCAAAATATGTATTAAGAGTTGGAATAAGTTTTTAAAAGTTGAACTGGTATATAAATATACAAGGGTAGTCCTACCTTACGTAGTCTGAAGTTTGAAGTGGACACGCTGGACAGAGAGAGAGTTGTGTCCTATTCACAAAGTCGCTCCCAACTGATGTTACACGTCTCTATTGAAGATATATCTCAATACATATTGATCTATCGCAATCGTGTGCATAAGCTACAGCATACTGATTCATGTGCACAATGACGGAAATTATAGATTTGTTCTTGACGTATTGACGGTGTGAGGCCCCTCCCGGTATTGTTACATGTATTTACCATCGAACATACTAGTACGTGGCATTTTTCTAGATATATGTTTTGTCGCGTGGTCGAGCATTTGAATAACAGTGTGTGTTCTATCGACTTTCAGCGACCATTTGTTGACAAATCTAAATCGTACTAGTCCTGGCAGATTGTCGGGTCCATCTGTTACCGCCAGTACCGCCTGTGTTGAGACGACTCTAGGCCACACAATACTGAGTGCAGTTCAACACTGTTGTATAACTGATAGCAAATTATTTTGTTGGAATACAGCTGAACATCCTGAATATCACATAATGACTTGAAATTAAAGGTAATTAGATATCTTCAAAATTATCACAAAATGATAAACGCATAGAATTATATTGCATGATTTGTGAGTTTTTGCTACTGAAGTGTCTTGGAGAAAAACTACATGCGCAAATACAACATTTTTAAAAAAAGGATGTGCATTTTGTTAACATGATTTAACATAGAGCTTCTGTTTGAAAACAAAACTTCCTCGAAAAAAATACTGATTGTTGTCATGTCATTTTCATTGATGTTATATCACAATATGGCGCCCATGCTGAAAATTAAACTCGAGGCTCTTGAAAACATTCATATGATATCATAGCGGGAAGACGTATGTCAGGTTTCCTAGGAGAAGATGTTTTATAAGATCACTTGACTTTTAGTCAGGGCGCTGCTGCGCTGCGACAATATTGGGGAAGGAAATAGTTCATACGGGTTTAACAGAAAGACAGCAGTGAACAGATGTGAAGTATGTCAAGCACAACTCTTAGTATTTGTCGCATTACTGGAAATGTTCCTACCTAATCTTTTTCATTAATTGTTTTGGAATTTTCGTGTGTAAACCTTTCACTGATATGAATACTTTGTATCAAATACTACAATAAAAGTAATAAAGAAATATTGGCTTTTGTCACGTGTAGACCCTTTTAAACCGTGATGTCGACATGACGAATGCTGGCGTATTATAAAGATTATTACAATGTATTTAATACGAACATGTCTTTAACTTGATCGGATAACCCACACATCTGATGAAATGGCAATCTCGGGAAAGAGCGTCTGCTAGGAGAGCAGAAGACCCGTGTTTCGATCCCAGTTTGCTATGCTGTTATTGTACACTATGTTGTTCTGTTACACGCTGTTTAGGTACATGTTGCTGCGGCACATACTGTTTAAGTACATACTGTTATGATACATGTTGTTTTAGTAGTTGTATTATAGTATATGTTGCTGTGGTACGTAATGTTTTAGATCATGCTGTTATGGTACATGTTATTATAGGTCGGTGCATACTGGTATGGTACATATTGTTATAATACCTGTTGTTTTGGTACTTGTATTATGATACATGTTGCCGTGGTACAATGTATATAATGTTTTGGATCATGTTGTTATGGTACATGTTGTTAAACGTCTTCTCGTGATACATGTTGCTACTGTACAAGATGGTATGGTACATATTGTTATGATATCATGTTTCTGTTTCTTTGATACATGTTGTTATGGTACATATTGTTGGTACATGGTGTTATGAAACATGTTGTGACACACCATTTTATGGTAAAAGTTGCCATGGTACTTGTTGTTATGCTACATGTTGTTATGGTAAATGTTCAAAAGGTACATGTTGTTATGGTAAATGTTCTCAAGGGACATATTGTTATGGTAAATGTTCTCAAGGTACATGTTGTTATGGTAAATGTTCTCAAGGTACATGTTGTTATGGTAAATGTTCTCAAGGTACATATTGTTATGGTAAATGTTCTCAAGGTACATGTTGTTATGGTAATGTTCTCAAAGTACATGTTGATATGGTAAATGTTCTCAAAGTACATGTTGTTATGGTAAATGTTCTCAGGGTACATATTGTTATGGTAAATGTTCTCAAGGTACGTGTTGTTATGGTAAATGTTCTCAAGGTACGTGTTGTTATGGTAACTGTTCTCAAGGTACATATTGTTATGGTAATGTTCTCAAAGTACATGTTGTTATGGTAAATGTTCTCAAGGTACATATTGTTATAGTAAATGTTCTCAAGGGACATATTGTCATGGTAAATGTTCTCAAGGTACATGTTGATATGGTAAATGTTCTTAAAGTACATGTTGTTATGGTAAATGTTCTCAAGGTACATGTTGTTATGGTAAATGTTATCAAGGTACATGTTGTTATGGTAAATGTTCTCAAGGTACATGTTGTTATGGTAAATGTTATCAAGGTACATGTTGTTATGGTAAATGTTCTCAAGGTACATGTTGTCATGGTAAATGTTCTCAAGGTACATATTGTTATGGTAAATGTTGCCATGAACCTTGAGAACATTTACCATAACAATATGTACCTTGAGAACATTTACCATAACAATAATATTGGGTGGTGTCTTGGGGTTAACATCGCTTTGACCTTGCATGGTGTAAATCCCGATGGCTGTTGTTTCAAGCGTAAAATCTGGATCCAAATTGTATACATTCTCAACGAAACCTGATTGGGTGTGTTTTGTAACCGTTTCATAACGAAGGAATACAAATACATGAAATATTGTTTGGATAGTATTTCCACGTGCACACTATAACAAAGCATCAGTCCTCAGTCTGCATATCTTCTCGAATGTGCAGTGCTGTACAGAGGAGGTGGGGTGGCCTAGTGGTTAAAGCGTCCGCTCGTCACGCTGATGACCCAGGTTCGATTCCCCAGATGGGTACAATGTGTGAAGCCCATTTCATGTAGTCCCCGCAGTGATTTTGCTGGAATATGGCTTAAAGCGGCGTAAAACTAAACTCATGCACTCACGTACGTGCTGCACATGCTATCAACGGATACATCTGGCAAAATAACCTGTGCAACCTTACATGGATATGTACAGTAAAGTGTGATATATTATAGAACGCGCGTGAACTATACTACATGAATGAAATTTTAGATGTAGTGTACATAATTTGTACAATTAGTAATTAGCAAAACAATGACGAAATAGAGGCAAAAGCACAAGATTGAACGGTAGTAGAAGACATGCGCACTAACAAAAGTACAAAATGGGTACACACGAACTGTGTGACATATTCATGAAACAATCAATATTAATGCAATTATTGGACGATGTTAGTCACACCTTCGTTAACTGGTGGGGTGCACCGTTTGAACAACATAGATCAATACAACAATGTTTAGACTACACGAGTGAGTGAGTGAGTGAGTGAGTGAGTAAAACAACTAGGTTATCACAGATAGAGATATAAAACTAGTATGGGATTTACAAATTATACTATAATGCAGGACAATAGGATATATAAACGGGCTACAGATAACTAGAAACTGAAGGTAGATCACCATACAAGGGACCATTGGGACTTATAGTACTTTTGTTACCTGCATGGACTCTAGCCGGATTTACATCATCCCTTCAGCCGTTGGTGATTGTAGTTAAATTTAGCCACAATTCAAAATTACAAAGACACTTTTTGGTAAGATTAATTTCTTTGATTACTTTGGGACTTACGTACCCTCTTCGGAAGAGTGAATGAGTTTGGTTTTACGCCGCTTTTAGCAATATTCCAACAATATCACGGCAAGGGACACCAGAAATGGGTTTCACACTCAGGAAGGCAATAATTTCACAATACTTCACCCCCTGCGAGGATACAGTCATTCACAATCTCAGCTGCTCAATTAAACTACCAATAATAAAACATTTATCTATTTACAAACCATTTATCAAAATGTGTCTAATAATTCTATTTCTTTTTAAAATTCAATATTTAAATGACAATTAACAATAAAGACTACACGATATGTCAATGGAAGGCATTTAGTAGCAGAATGTACTTCACGTTTTGACAGTCATGGGCAGCAACAGTGACTGTAAGCTGTCAAACATCAAAATTTTGTCATATCGACTTGTGGAAAGTGGGAAAATGTCGAGAATGAAATCTGCCAATCGAAGAAGAATAAAAGAGAATCTATAGGCTCAATATCAGGGAACACCAGAAATGGGCTTCACAAATTGCATCCATATGGGGAATCGAACCCAAGTATTCGGCGCCAGGAGCAAACGCTTTAACCACTGGGCTAACCCAGAGCCCCGCTTGATTAATTAATTTCAGTTGAATGCTTTGATTGAACACAGTTAAATGTTTTCATGTGGGCTTCTGTCTTTAAGGATATTCATTTCAGAAATTCTGAAGAAAATTAGTATTTGTATGAAATTATCCATATGGTGATACCCATAGGTTTATACCGACATAATAGTCCGGATATTTCAGTCGTGGAGGTAGGGTAGCTTAGTGGTAAAAGCATTCATCAGTCATACTGAAGTCTCGAGTGCGATTCCCCACAATTTGTGAAGCCCTTTTTGCTGTGTCCCATCGTGGAATAACTTGAATTTTGGCGTGAAACGATTTTCACTCACTCACTCACTTATTTCAGTAACAGGGACTCGTCGTGAAATTTACACTGTGAGAGGGCGATGGATTTAAGGCGCTTTGAACAATATAGTATTCATATCAGTTAGTTCGGTTTGATGTGAAAGAAAGTTGTCAGTGCACTGGTGTGGTAGAGCCAAAGGAAGGTTAGTTGACACACGCTTAGTCAAAACCAAAGAATATTTAAATATTTTTAATCAAAATATAATATGGACTTTTACAACATTATGAGAATGAATGAGAACATTATACACATATATTCAATAATGCTATTCAATAAATTTGTCTGTTTTGGGGTCACAAATTCCACTTCTAACATGGTAGATGCTGTTGCAAATTCATTATTGATTGAACCTCTCACAGACGACGTTTTACAAACTGTTGCAGAAATCAGAGATGATTAAATAGACAGCATCATTCGGGTTTTTTCCAATTTTCATTTAAGTTTAAAACAAACTTGGTTTACTTTTTTTACCCACACTCTGCTTGAAGCATATTGCTTATAATCATGAAAGTATGTTTTA